TGGAGTAATTTTGGTGCTTTCTTTAAATATGAATAGAATAGAATTTTATTGATCTCTTTGGTGCAAACCTCAGGGAAATTGTTGATGTCATGGCTTTAAAACCTTTCGGCAGGTTTTGGGGCTCAAAGGATTTAAACGTCAGCACTAAGTGTAGTTTTTTTTCTCCACCTGACTAAGAAAACAAAAAGCATTTGTCTCACACCAGCCTTTTTGTTTTTGTTGTGTTGGTTACAGTGTCACATTTTGTGAAGCTGATGAAATACGGGATCATTGCTGTGGATCCTGGAGTTGTTGAAAGGATAATAGCTGACAATCATTAAAGAGATTTTCATTGGCTGTTGAGTCATTCAACCATCTGCTATTGTGGACAAATTTTAAAGCTCTACTTCTGTTTGTACAAGGCGAGCACCACCTTCCTCCTTCTCATCTCCAGTTTTATGAGCAAGTCAACAACCCTCTGTGCTGTAAGGAGCATGATATAAAATAAATAAAATGCAGTCCAGATGCTAGTAGAGACTGGAGAGTTTTTTTGTTTAGCAATACCTCAGTAAAAAAAAAATTGGGAAAACAAACATAAAGTTGCACTCAACTGGAAACTGCACCAGATCATCATTAGGCACAAGAGATACAGCGGTTTAAAAACAGAGAGGTCCATACAGTAGCTGCTGCACGTGAGGATTTTTTTAAATCAAAAAACAATCAAACTGACAAACATTTTTTTAATAAATCCAGTGTTTGGTGTAAAAAGTGTCAAGAAGTTGGAAATCATTTTTCAATTATATCATGTATTTAACTTAATTAATCTTAATTCAGCCATCTAATCCTTTTTTCTCTCTCTCACACCTCAGGTACAGTATTATTCCAGTCATGAAGAAATCTGGCAAAAAGGCAACTCTGGACTTAAACTGAGACGAGACGAAGGGAGAAAGAGAGGGAGACAGAGCTGACATCCCCTTTACACATTTCACAGGTAGGTTATACACACTTTGTTTTTCTATATCAAGCACTCCATGTTTTATAACATCTTGTTTTCTTTTTTTCCGTGCCACTTGTTAGTCTATGTGTTGTTTTTTTTCCCACTCGATCTAACTTCCATTAAATTCTGGTGCAGATCCAGATAAACTTTCTTTAAAGTCCCTCTCTGGTCAGTGATTTAACCGCTAAAACTTATTTCGGTATATCAAAGTTAGCATTTAGAGGAATTTTAGAAAAAAAACAAAACTCTTCCTGCCAAAAATGGCCGAGATGTAACTATGTAGTCGTTTTCTTTCAGTTATAAAGACTTATGAAGTCCCCGCCTTGTTCTCTACGCTCACAGCAGCTCACCTACAACTCTGCTCAGACACTTTTGCGCCACACAATGAAAAGTTGTGATACAGAGACATTCAGCCACGAATGTTTGAGCTGGAAACCGATTCAGAAGAGTAATGATACAAAAAGCCAGACTGAAAGCCTAAAATTATATCCTGCAGTTGAATGCACTGGACGACGGTGCCCTTCAATTCTGTTTTTTGTTTGTTTTTATAAAACCGCTGTTTTTATAAATTACTTCTTGTCTTTCTTTGATTTCATTTTAAAATATTTTGTTTATGTTTTCATAGAAAGTTGTTTTGCTCGGGCGTCCCTAAGCGGTAGTGATTGAGGCAAGCCTAAGGTTTGTCTGTGGTTGGGAGTAATTTCTGAATTGGGCAATAATGTAAATCCTTCCATCAGCTTGTCATGATCTCACAGGGAGCCAACAGCCCTTAGATGCAGTGGAAAGTCAGGCGTGTGTGTCTAAGTGTACATTCTTTGCCGTGGGCAAAGATTGCTGTTGAGTCACACCCTGATTGGAAAAAGAGCTTGTGGGTAGTGGGTGTGGTAGAGGGAGATGATTTGGGCTACAGAATGAATCTCTGAGCAAGATCAAAATAGATGTCTAATATCTGGACTTCCCCTCACT